CTCACCCATCCCAGTAAAAAAAAAAAAAAAAAAACCTGAACCACTTAAGCAGGACAAAATATCTCACATCTCACCCATCCCAGTTTATTCTTACTTTTCAAGGGAAAAAAAAAAAAAGAAATTATACGTCAAAATACAAGCACATTTCGAGGGACATTTACGTGTCTGCTTTAGTGACGAAGGCACAGTGATTCACATTTGAACTATGATGCGTGTCTTACATTTTTGTTATTGTAATATGATGGGTTCAAAATATAATAGCTGAGAGTTAAATTTCATATTTCATTACACACTGAAAAAAAATGAACTAATATTTCATTACATAGTTGGAAACTGAACTAATAATGATGAAGATACACTATTGGTGATTTGTCATTTAAAAAGCAAGAACAGCAAAAACAGACTCTGCAACATTGTTGAGCCCTGTAAAGCAAACAGCATACTTGGCAAAATAATGAATTCAAATCCTTAAAAACCTCCACTTTACCAAGTAATTTTATAGTTAACCCATTGCCATCAAGTCAGATGCGACTCACAGCGACCCCTCCTTGGGTTTCCAAGGTGTTATCACTACGGAAGTAGAATGCCCAACCTTCCTTCTGAGGAGTGCCTGGTGGGTTTAAACCGCCAGCCTTCTGGTTAGCAGTCAAATGCCTTAGGCACTATGCCACCAGAGCTCTGTGAAGCCTTAAATTCACTTAGAAGTAGCTAGTAGTCTTTATTTATATGTAAAATTAAAATCTACGGCATCATAATCATCTCTCACTTGATAACTGAGTAATTAACATATTTTGATTATTTCAAGGCTCATCTCAAGGGTTTTGACTTACCAAGTCATTCTTGTGATATTTACTAATTACTGAATTGGCTGAATTCCCTTACAAGTTAAAATAGTGCTTTGTTGACAAGTCAAATTAAATAGCTATGGACTCAATAAGGGACACTGGGAATTACAACTATTAACTTGTTTTCCTAAAAGTCTGAATTTTGCATGTTTATGAGTTATCCTTATTCCTGAACAGCTTGCAACATACTGACATGTTTCTTTCATCTAACCAGTGCTCCACTGGGGGTGATTTTGTCTTCCAGGGGACATCTAACAGTATCTGGAGATATGTTGTGATTGTCACAACTGGGCAGATTGCTCCTAGTATTCAGTGGGTACAGAGACATCCTAAAACATCCTAAAATGTTCACATTAGTCCCCCACAACCAAGAATTATCTGGTCTAAAACGTCAACAGTGCTAAGGTTGAGGAAACCTGATTAATCCCACAGAAGGTCACTTTATATTGCTGAGTAAATTGACTTTTCACTACATAGCTTTTTCAGTAAGATTTGGAAATAATTTTGTTGTTTAGATTTCCAGATGCAGAATTATTAGCTACACTAACTATATTCAGTATGCACTATATCTTAAAAAAAAAAAATTAACTAACCTAATAGTATTATTATTTATTTGATATTTTATCTACTTAGCAAAAATAAGGTGTGCTTTTTCAATTTCAAAGCGAGGTTAGAAGACTACTAGGAATGTACTTAGATGAAAAGAGTTCCCTTGGTAGATATTTATTTTATATCTTAGGATATAAAAACTATTAGTTTAATCACATGATTGATCTTATTTGTATTATTAATACAAAATGATATACGTTAAGAAGCATATCTATAAAACATCTATTTCATAAGGTTTTGGAGAATTATAATACTTTGTACTATACAGTTAAAAATAACATCTAGTGCTTGAAATATTAAATACTTACCTATTTGTTGAAAAACTAAAGAATTTACTCTTGACATAAATGTCTTCCCATCTGCATGTATAGAGCAGTTTTTATCTTGCTCACTCCAAAAACAACAGCGGAAAGTTGTTTTGGATGACAAGTTAGAAAAGTAGGTAGCACTTAAATTATATTTAGCTTCAACAACTGCCTCATAATTTCCATTCAAACTTGAAGTGTTCTTTGACATTCCAGGCAAGAGGAAGCCATAGGTTGTGTTTGGTGGCATGCAAGACAACTTAAATCTCCAGGGAGTAATTGGATATGCCAAGTTAAACGCAGTTATCACATAAATAAATTCTGTTAAAATTTAAAAAAGACACATGGAAATCCAGTTAATCATTTTGACTAAGCTGTAAATGGGAAATATCTGACCAAGTTAAATGCAGTTAAATTCTCTTAACACATTAAAAGAACACATAGGAAAACATTTAATCATTTTTACCAAGGTATAAATGAGAATATCTGAGATTTAACAATGGTGTGCTAGTAAAAACTACTTAACTTTCTAACTGCTCAATCAGTGCCTAATGCATAACTCTGTGCTTCCACTTTACAAGGTGTTATACTAGAAAGGGTAATATTTATTGATAGAAATAACTTCACTGTCCAGCATCCCTTCTTGGAAATTCATACTTTATTTTTCCCCATTAAACATTTGACATTTACATTTTAATGAAAGTAAATTATAGTTAAATATTAAATTATAGTTAAAACATAATTATTTTAACTAATTTCCAGGATAAATGGAAAATATCACAATGAACAATTACATAAACAAATTTAAAATGCTATTCTAACATTTCTTAAAGAGAATAACACTAAAATGGTAAGACTACTTTCACTGAATGATTTTAGCCAGGACAGCTGGATGATCTTTGGAACCTGCCCATGATCCTGCAGACAACTGACATCACATAAGATATGTCCTTAATGCTCTCTTCAAGAATTGACATGTAACAACACATTTTTACTGAAAACTTCTGTTGCTTATTAAAGATCACTATCACTTTTTAAGGGAGCTCTGGTAGTGTAGTGCCTAAGGCACTTGACTGCTAACCAGAAAGCTGGTGGTTCAAACCCACCAGCCACTCCTC